TAATATGTTCGCTGACTTCCTTTCCAGGTATGTCACAACTAGGACATGGTTAAGTCCTCCAACAGAAACCAAGATTATGGATAATAATTTGGTGGTACAAAATGATCCTGAGATTCCCCAAGGATATGGGTTTTTACACAGACCATTAAGATTTGGTACTATTTCTAGCCCTTATCCTGCCATAAAAATTACTAAACACATAAAAATGCTAAAAAGAATATTAGTCGAATTATATCTAAAGAAAGATGAAATAAACCCTCATAACTTTGTTTATGAGGTTGCCTTTTATAAGACCCATATAAAATCCCTAGAATAAGAATTAAGGAAAATAAGCCATTTTGTTGCTTGATGTAACCTGTTTTCTGATTGCTTTTCAGGAACAAAGAGACCATTGATGGCCATTATAAGTTAATATAACTTGTTTACTAATGTTTCTTTTTCAGGAACAGAAATCCAATGATGGATTCCACAAACAAAGGGAAAAGGGCCTTTAGGTCCTAAACCTACAAAATCCCCATTTATGGCGGAGAAATACATAAAATATGGGAAGCAAGAGCTACTCATACTTACACATATCTACTAGTTTCCTAGTAGAGAATCTACAAATGTCAAATTAAATGTTTTAATTGACAATATTTGGAGTATTCCAAAACACACAACTCAGAATGAGTAACAAGTCGCTAAAATGAAGTAAAACATTATTAGCGCACTATATTGTTTTTGTAATGCAGATAACAAAGAAGTTAGGTTGACTTCCACAACATCTCCTTCTGGTAAGGGGTTTACACATTATGCCCTAGTTACGGGACCAAACAAAGGAGTTTATACTTCTTATAAAGACCTCTCTGAGGCCAAGCAGAACTAGTTTTGGTCTACTTACAAAGGTTTTTATTTCAAGGAAGAAGCCTAGATGACTTTGAAATTGGAAACTATAAATGAAGATAAAATAAAAATGACCCTTTTGTTTGAACCAAAGGCCCAAACACAAACCTATGCAGGAGCCTGTTGTCTTCCTACCCAAGTTAACCCAAATGTTTTCTTAGCCAAGTTTGACTTGATACAGGAATTTCTGTTTGAAGTTCATTCTAAAGCCCAAAATCCAAATGAGTTTATTGTCAAAACAAAACTTTATTTTAACACTAGGAACCCTTGCTTAGGATCCTCAGAATACTACAAAACAGTTACCAAAAATTGCACTTGCCAAATAAAGTTTATCATCCAAAGGGCGCAAATTGATTTGTCAACCTTCAAAAACCAATTGTATCGAGAGCTTCTAATAAACCCTCAACTATTGTTAGAAGCAAGATGTCTCCAAGCTATTTCCATCTCGCCCATAGAAAGATTTCACTCATTAACTCCAGAAATAAATTCTATGGTAAATGAGATACAAGCTGATCACATGACAAACGTGCTCTTACACATTACTTCTTCCCCAAGAAGTCTCACTTTGCCTGATAGCGTTGTAAAACACGTTGTCAAACTATACACAGAGGTAAACACTGATATAATTACCTCAACAGAGCAAGACCCTTTTAAAGGACTTACTCTAAACAAAGATAAGGTTTACCAGTACCAGCTTTGAAAAGCTTATGTAGAAGGATTTAAATGGAATTTTTTCAAAAAGGATATTTCAGATTTCGTTCTTCTAAAAGAAATTGCTGATACCAAGCTTTATTGGAAACAACACATGGGAAATAAGTTTTATCCCTTATGATGAGATGTCTAAACGGCTCTGCCAGATTCAGTCATCTCATAATCTTATCATGGACTTGTGTATTTATTTTCTGTCTTTACTTTTCTGTCTTTATTTTCTGTTCATGAATAAGCTTATGAGGAGATGTCTAACCGGCTCTGCCAGATTCAGTCATCTCATAATCTTATTTTGAACATCTTCTTTCTATAACCGACTTTATCTCGGACAGTCATCATTTGAGCTAGTCTGGTTTCAGGTTCTTTATAAGCTAAGTAACTATGTTGACCTACGAAGAGATAAAGAGTTATAACATGTTTTGGTTTATTTCTTTTTCGTCACTCAGGATGGGGAAAACTCGCTCGAAACCTCTTTGACAAAAGGGGGAAAGAGGGACATGACAGAAAAAGAAATAAACCAAAACATGTTATAACTCTTTATCTCTTCTGTAGGTCAACGTAACTACTTAGCTTACAAAAAAACCTGAAACCATGCTAGCTTAAATGATGATTGTCGAAGATAAAGTCGATTAAGTCTTGCATGTTAATGACGAAAAGATTGAACCAATCTTTTGATAAAAAAATAAAATAAAATTTACTATTCAAATTTTTGTCTTTTAGTGACGGAAGAATATCTCCTGTAAACTCCTCTCCCTTTTAGATAACTTTTGTTTTAAGTTTTCTTTTAGACCCATAAGTCATAAAGTGGGTCTCACTTGTAAATTTTACTATTTAATATTTTATTATTTTTATTTTCTATATAAGGACCTATAAGCCCATTATGTTTGGCAAGAGTCCTTCCATCTCTCTCCTCCCTCACTTCTCCTCCTTCCTCCCTTTCTTATGTAAATCTTACATACAATCAATAAGAGAAACATATTCAACATCTCTCCTCTCCTTCTTTTTTCCCTTTCCCGAGTAAATTTTCTTTACTCGTTTCTTTTATGAAGTAGTTTTCTCATAAAAACATCCTCAAATGCTTTAAGTGATATTTATTAAAAGATGTGATAATCATTTAAAGGCTATGTTTTAGGTCATTTAAAAACAAAGACAAATTGGATACCTAAAAGAATACCATACTTTTATATTAAATCTCTTAAATATTCAAATCTAATATATAATTATTCGGATTCAACTTATTTTAAGTAAATCAACCTGTTTTAAATCCTGCATTATTATTTATTTTTAAAGACTAATATTAAATGAAATAAGAAAATTTCATCCAACAATAAGTCGCCCATAAAATATATTAGGTGTTTATATTTCCACAAGATAAAAAGACGAAACATAAGTTATAGAAAAAATAATACATAAAAATTAATTAAAAATATCAAATAAACATACCCTCCGTTAAATCATTGTCATTAATAATTTTTCTTAAAAATTGATGATTTAATCTTGAAATATCTTAATTATTTAATGAAAATATAACTACTAAATTAATTTAAATGTATCGGATATAATAACTTCAATTTTAACCATTAACCACGTAGGAAAAAAATACAAATAACTATGAAAGGTGTTATTTTATTACAGTAAAAAAAGATTTTTTTTTGTATAAATATATTAAAAAGTGATTAAGATAAGGATGCAACTTTCAAATTAATTTAAATATATTTAAACTAGATTTAAGCAGATAAAGTTAATTTGATTCAAGTAAATGAACTTAGAATTAAATTCAATATATTTTATTGAATATGATGCATGCCACTCCTAGCTAAAACTTTATCATCACCGTCATGGGTTGCTTTTGACTAATGATTTAATGCATTTGGTGTGAGAGGATATATCCTGTAGTGGGATAAGATTTTTGTTGGTGGTAGTTTGGGATGTTTGGTAGGCTGGGCCCATAGTCAGATTATAATGCAGGATTACGAGCCATAATAGGACCAGCATAGTACTGATCAGACCTAACATAGGAATACCAGGTGAGGCCAAAATTTCTACAAACATGGCACCATGATATCTGTCCTTATGAGATTTTTACCATTATTCCTGTTATCAAATCTACTCCATCTGCCATGATAATTATCCACCATAATAATTCCTAAACTTACCTCGAGACCTTGCATTGTATACATATTTAGAAACATTAGAGCATGGAAATCAGCATCTTCTGTTATTTCCTAAGCCCTCAATTTCTGAGCTGTGTAAGGCTATCTTGAAGACACAATAGTGAAGGCATCTTTCATTGCTTCAACTAATCCATCAAAGATGGCTTATAAATGGTCTGTAGTGTCTACTGGTGAGCTTTAAGCTTGATTTCCAGCAGGTAGGTGATGATGGGTGAGGTCTTATTGATGTTCCACTACTAAATTTTGAGATTTGCGGTCTTGGCTTTTTAGTTTGTTGCTGTTGTAGATTTTCATTAATTCATTGATAGGCTAGACCTAAAAAAACAATAGATCTGCCATGTAAATTCTTGAACTTGCATATCCTAATCGAGTGGGATCCAAATCCTTGAGCACTTGGAACAAATGCCAAGTCAAGTCATCCCTTTCATATTTATCCTAGCAAGTTGCATTTGCTATTACTGAACTACGAGGTCTCAAACCTTGGCTGCAATACTCTAATGGACTTAGTGATGTCCCCGTCAGTAGTCATCAAGGAGCTTAACTGGGCTAGATGCTCCAACTTTCACTCATGGATTTCATTTCATTTACCTCGTTTGGACGTTACATTTGCAAATAGTGCAATTTCCATAGTCAACTACAATCCCTTCCATGGGATAAACAGAAAAAAATGCCTTCACTGTTATTTCATGTGCCTAACTAATAACAATAATTGATTTCCCATACATGTCATTAATTTCTTCAATAAATGCTATTAACATTTGGTATACTATTTTACATGAAATCTACCAGTACTAATCAACCAATGAAGTTTTTTTTGCTGAATGCAGGGGGGAATCAGCAAATGAAGTGGACCGGATCCTGACTACACAATTACTTTATCCACCGTGAAATGCCGTGTCATTAGTTGTTGGCGACGTTAAACTTCCCACAGCATCATTTCGTGTTGATGGATAAAAAAATAATAAGCAATGTCGCTGCAAACAGCAGGAGCCGGCCGTTGCTTCATTTTCATAACACCCTGTTCAAAATAATTGACTGCGGTGGAGTCAAAAACTAGGGAGAGAACGAATGCTTACCAATTAAGTAAAAATTCAAGGCATGAAACTATACATACATCAGGCTAAGCTAAGCACAAAATTTGCACGTGTGCAATGATGATACATAAAACCACAACCACTTTTATACCAGTCCGAAACATTACAACCATTGCAGCATGAAGATATAGTTTTACAGTCCTCAATCCGTGATGACACCATTGGAGCTATTGCCAATCCCCTGCTTGGCAGAAATCACCCTATCCAAAATCTGGTCTGAAACCAAGATCCCCGTGGTTTCCAAATCTGCAACTACAGCAACAGCTGCATCTAGTTCCCCAATATCAACGCAGAGAGAGATTATCTCATCATAGAGAGGACTGTAACATGGAGCAAAATGGGGAAACAATAAGCTGAAAAGCAACAGACACGGGATAGCAGAAAACCAAAGGTTGCCTTCATTTGGTAGTTCTTTATAATAATGAATAAAATTCTGCATTATCTAATTCAACCCATTCAAAAAGTTATGCCTTCCACCACAGGAATTACAAAAAGGGTACAGAAGTTAAAAACAACTCAATTTTAAAACCAGCAGTAAAACACAATTTTCACTTTTTCAGTTGAAGGCGGAATTATGAAGTCCATTATGCTTTAGCTCCATAGGAACCATAATGACTAAATAAACCCTCCAGCCTTAAATCTAAAACCACAAATTGGAAACGAGATTTTCTTAAAATGTAAGAAAATAAAGCTAAGGAATGCTTTAAGGCACTCCTTAAGAATTTTAAATTGTAAAGTACTATTAAAAAGTATAGCTTCTTAAGTTCACAAATGCATCATTAAACACTTTGTAATTTTCATTCATTGACAAGTGTCATTCCAGTATCCATTGTCAACACCTAATGTAAAACAGTGAACTTCTACAAATTAAAGAGGAATAGTAAATTAGTATGATCTTAAAGAATGATATATTTTATGTACTAAGGATGTGCAAGTTTCGGTAGCCCAATTTAGGAGGGCGATTCTTCCCTCGGAAATATCGGTTTAGCTTTCTGCGCCTCCTAGTCAAGAATATAATATATATTCGTTGGATGGGTTGGGTAACCCACACAAGAACATGGGTTTTGTTTTACAACGAAAATAGAGTTACCTCCCAAACTTATAACCAAGTCCATGAGTAGTTTGCAAAATTGTCAAGAAAGTTGAAGGTAGAGGTGCCCTTATGGCTGCACGCAAGATCATCGCACAATCTCCTATAGTCGGTATCCCTCCCAATTCTATCACCTGTAAATATTGGTCAGAATCTCATTCAGCAAAGAAATGCATATTACTAAAGATTGTTGTTAGGTTAAATATATCCAGAAAGACCAAAGTAGTAATGCTATTTACTAATAAATATTTATGTGTCAGCTTCTAAAACAAGAGGGAAATTCTAACTTCAAAAAAGTAATGGAAGTCTGAGCAATATTTACAAGGATGATGAATATATATCTACTACATTCTAATTAATATATAAGCCAAATTTCAAAATTGAATGAATTATTACACTATGCCTGGACAGGAATCTACAAGCAGATAGGTAGACAACTAGACATCAATGTTCTTTTTTTTTTCCCTTCAATGCAAAACAAAAATAAATATCACCATTCTGAGTGTTTATAAATTCCTTTTTGACACACCAACAATGTCTAATATCCAAATGAAGGGAGACTGAATTAAGATCATAAGAAAACAAGCGTAAATGATCCATGCATCACTGTGAAAGTTGAGCCATGTAAAAAAAAGACACCTGTTACCAAAAAGGCTGCCAATCAGCATGCTCAAATAAACTATTTCACGATTGATAACCTAAAAACATAAATCTCAAGAGTAGCCCTTACATTTAAGAAATAACAAATGTAAAGGGAAATCCTAGATATGCTAGTATTCATTACATAAATGGTAGGGTTGCTCCTATGAATGTTTCTCACAATATATTTCATTGAAATTCCCTTAGTTTTACGATCTTGGCCTTCACCTAATTGAATGAATAAAGTCAGAAATTGGAACTAAAATTATTTACAGATTAAACAACTTCACCCACACTCCCAAACTATTGAACCATTTGGAGAATGACCTTCACTAATAGAAGGAGAGAAGATGCTAAAATACGGTTACAATGTCCCCCAAACATGTCAATCATGAATACAAGATAATTAACACTACCAAAATCAGAATACAAAATTTATGTCATCCTACATCATTTTGGATCTAAATTTACTTTTAAGTGGAGTTTTAGGTTTTTATTTTGTAGATGTGAAGAGGGAGTAATTATATTCTGTGTCTACAAGAAATTGAGAATTTGACCATTTAAAATTATTTCAACAAGAAGCAAGCTTGCAGTTATAAGAAAAGAAAAAAATAAAAAAAAAATCAAGGTTTAGTTATTTACCTTCTGCATAACTTTGATTGCCAACTCAACTTCCCATTCCTGTGACCATCTACGAGGAGGTTTGTTCTTCAGTTCTCTCTCCCATGTCCATCCCCAAGCATCTGCTAATGTGTACATGTCTGACACATCAAAAATTTTCCGCTTCCTCATTTCCTTAAATGCCTCAAATACATCCAGTGGAAACCAATCCTCATCATCATCATTCTGGCAGCAAAAAAGGTAGATTCTCAAATGACAAAATATTCAGAATGTAAAAACTGCAACTAAGATTGAAAGAATGTACTGTTAACAGAGAATGAAGATTATGGTCCAGTAATAGCTCTCAGCTTCTCATAAAATCATTCTCACCCAAAATCCCAGGCGCTCCTATATGAGTTTATCAAGTTGGATGTTACATCCTAACATTTTCGGATCTTCTGTAAAAAAAACTTGTCTAACTGTCTAAACAAGTTGAAGAACTAAACTCTCCCCGACCAAACTTACAAAGGAAAAGAAGAATACCCATGAATTATTGTCGTACCTCAGCCTGCAATTTGGCAGATTTTTTATACTTTTTAGATCTAGCAATAGGTGGATCAAAATCTTTCAACAACTGGACTCCAATCATTTGAAGAGGCTTTTTTGCTTCAACTTCCTTGACTTTTATCCTGTCAACATCTTGGTTCTCAGCTGGTTCTACTTCCTCTTCTACTTGTTCTGCTTCCTCCTCATCATCATCCACTTCATCATCTTCAACGTCTTTAGCAGCATCTTCTATTCCATCAACTTCATCTGGAACTTCAGAGACCTCTGATAAACCTGCATCCATTGGCATTTCTTGATCACCAGTTAAGCCTTCACCTAAAAAGCGACGTTTCCAGAACTCTGTATTTCCTTCCTGCAACTTTATACGTGAAATCAATGCATCCAGCTCTTCATCCACCTGGAACGTGGATCACATTTAAGTTTAGCATCATATGTTAAAGATCAAGATGAAGAGAAAAGAAAAGGTATTTAATTAAAACAAATGAAGAATCAACCTCTTCTTCCTCCTCTTCCACGGGAGGAATCCAAAGGGGCCTACCACGAGATCGATTTATTCTCCTTGCTTTCTGTACACGCTGGTAAAGAACATTTCTAGTTCCATCAATGGGCAAGTCTTGTGCTTCTAGTTCTTCCTTCAATTCAGATACAAGCATTTTACTAGCAGCCTTAGGCTTTAAAGAATTCTGTTCAGGCCCCTTTATGAGTTTCTTTAGTCTCTCCTTCACTCTAATATAATCAGATTCAGATACACCATCCCCTAAAACTGCAAGTCCTTCAATCTGCAAGGTCTTCAAGAGCTTCTTATTGTAATCCCTCAAATTCTCCAGGCATCTTTGTTTGAATGAGGTCTCCATTGGGTTTGAATATATAAATCCTTGAGCATCAGGATCTAAAGGGGTTTTACCTCTTCGAGGCACCCATCGCTTACGCTCCCCTGTTAGGCCACCCTCTTCAATATATCTGTTCAATTAATAGCAATCAACACATTAATAAAAATAAATCAATAAATAAGCATTAGTTCATTAAGCCCATCAACTATGATTTAATAGATCTGTGAAAGAACATGCATGCGTCGAAAAAGAAAGGAAACAAAAAACGAAGAGAGAAAGTTAGAAGCTTTTATAAGTAGAAAACTCAATGGAGATTCTTACGACCACTGCTTAGATTTTAATTTGCCAATTTCGGCTACTACTAATATTTTCAGAATATCAAAGTTACCTCTGGTAGGCAAACTATGCTGAACACAAACACAAGCCTTAGAAAAACAATTTATGATCAAGATGTAAAATATCATGCATTTGGTATGAACACTACTCTTGGACAGCATAAACACAACTGGGATTAAAAGACAATTGAAAAAAATAAAAATAAACAAAAGACAAGTCAAATCATTAAAATAATGTCAATTTGGGTTTCAGTTAACTGGTGGAAAACAGATAACAATCAAATATGCAAGCATAAATAAAATAAATAACTTATATCAAAATAATAATAATAATAATAATAACAATAATAATAACAACGTCAGCAAGAAAATGATAACAACTATTGTTGAAAAGGAAACAATACCTAGCAATATAATCTATCTCATAGCCAAGTTCAGCCTCCTCTTGTAATGGTTCAATCCATGAGCTTACTAATGTCCGGTATTTTCTGCTCAAGATCATTGCCCGCGAAGGGATTGGCTGGTTATCTTTGGCCATAACTTCTAAAGCTTCAAGCATTTCAACAATTCTTCCTGAATTTAAAAATGACAATTAGGTTGATGTAAAGGATTCTGAGACAAATTTGGTCATAAAATTTAATAAATATGCATTGAACATCACAAAGAAGACCAAAACCATGATGATTATCATTAGTTACAATGTCTCAACAAGGATAACAAAATATAATAAAAAAACTTTTTATGAAAGAGTATGTGTTGTGGAACCAGATATTCTACATATAAGGCGGATGGATTCCCATCAAATAATCCCCTGAAAATTCTTCTTTGAGCTGAAATTTCAGTATAACTTTAGAATACATGCCTCATATCTCCTTACATTTCATACAGCAGATGGGATGATATTTTTTTGGGTACAACTATTTTAGGTCACCAAGATGATGCCCTAATCCAACAACAAAAAAGCTTTTGAGGTCAAAAAATAATTATGGGAGAAGTGAGGATCACACTCTCTAATACACTCTTTTGGACACTCTCAATCTTAATGGCTAAAATTTATTGAAAACTACAAAAATCAATAGAGGGAATCATTAAATAAGAGGTGGGTCCCACACTTTTTTGTGATTTCCTATAGTATTTAACCCGTGAGAGTGAGTATGTTCAGAAAAGTGTGTTAAAGAGTATGTTCCTATAATACATTTACTTCCCCCCAAGGAGATAAGGAAAAGTTCAAACTTGTGACTCGTCAAATGTGAGACTACATCTCACTTCACTCAACCAACTCTAAAGATTGATTGAATAAAGTTTTAGATTAATTATTAATAAAGACAAAATCTCTTAGAATGAGAAATCTAAAAATACATAGCTAGTAGAAGCATACCTTCCCGACATAATGCCCGAAGGTACAAAGAAAGTGGATCTCCATGGTTCCCTTCATCATGTAGAACTTTTGTACCCCCTTCAAAGTTTTTAAGGGCGCGAAAATGCCTAATAGCTTCTCGTACCACACAGTACTTGGTAAAACACTCCACTAACAGGCTGCGGAGATAATATGGGACTCATTCGATCAAGAGGACATTCCACAGTTATATATTACAAAATCCATCATTTATAGGAAACATTTTTTTTATTTAAATAAAACAACTCAATGAGTACCTACCTATATGGTCCCCAAAAACTACAGGTCATTTACTCAGTTTACCTGATAATCCAAGGATTTTTCAGAAACAGAAGAAAAACTTCGAATTAAAGAATAGCATAGAAGCAATAAAAGAGTTAACATTTGGTTGAGTGGAGACTACTCATAGCATGTTTGTTAATGTTCTATCAAAGCTACAGTCTTTTGTTTCTCAGCAAACAGAGCATTTAGTAACAGATTAGCAGTTGAAGGTTGTTGTGCACTTTAGTGTATTCAATTGGAGAGTGATGCCCATGTTTCCAAGGGGACATTTAGCCCATAATACAATTGTGGTACTATAGATTGTTGTTAAGAGAATTTTCAGAACTAATATGCAGGTGGCACAGTAGCATTTTTTAGCCACATTGTTGTTTTCCTTTTCCTTTTTGGTTTAGGAAGACCTCATCCCCCCATTGCTCCAATTAGTATTCTCTCTTTACTTGTTGATAATGTTTCTTCTTTGACTGATACAGACTCACTAAAGCTTCTTTGAAATCTATTGCTGTGTCACAGAATTTGCAGCAAATTTCTGTTTATTATAAATAACTGATACGTTTGAAATAATAATAATAATAATAATAATAATAATAATAATAATAATAATAATAATGATGTGTCTTACGCATGGGTCTTCACATTTGGCTGTATACGTTTGTGATCTTCAACCATCATGCCAAGTAACTCAGCAACATCTTGTACTCTACAAGCCACACACAAACAAGTTTAATATGATCACATCACACAATAACAACTATAACTCAGTTCATGAAATATTTAATTTAAGAATTCTAATGGGAGGTTTCACAGCCATTGAAATGATCTAACCTGTCATAAGATTCAGCTCTAGTATACGCTTGAATAACCCAATTATATGTATCTGTATTAGGCTTCATGTAATCTGTTATGTCACAAATTAAAGATAACTTACATGAAATAGAATTAACAATGAAAAAAGAAGTTTTAACAAATTAGAAGAGAAGAGCGTCCCATTTTGAACAACACAAAAAAAGAAACAAAAAAAAAAAAAACAAGAAGAAAATACCATGGTAAATGAAAAATAATCGTGAAAAAAGTATAAGAAATAGAAACAAACTTCCCTTACAACGGTAAATGAAAACTTTAAAAGTAAACAAATATAAGCATCAGAAAAAGAAGAAAGGGGAAGGGAAAGGAAATGTGAAGTGCAAACCTTCTCCATATTCCATGTTCTCAAAAGTTGCAAAAGCTACTTCAGGTATTCCGCAGGTAGCCTAATAGTTTTGAGAGAAATAATATTAATAAAACATAATGAAAACGGCACAAGATCAAACAGGCTCATAGTTTGCTTTATCAAAACTAATTGCAATTTGAAAAGTTAAAAAAAAGAAAAAAACAAGTCAGCGTTGTTTGTCTGAAACATACAACTGAAGTATCATTGTGTCATATTTCATCAGTTACCTTCACATATGTTCTAGTCACAAAGAAATGAAAACCATGAGGTAAGGATTTGATAATGGGTTTCAGTAGGTAATTTATCTAATGTAATAGTATTTTCAATTTTCGTTTCCTACATATTGCAATTGTGCGATTGTAGTTCTTTAAGTTCTAATTGTGTCAATTGAATCTTCCAGGTACCACAATTATGCAATTTTAGTCCCTGCAACCTGGGGGACTCAATTGATTCAATTAGACAATGAAAAGACTAAATTAGCTCCATTCCGATATCTGACAGGCACAATTGGAATTTGAAGAACTAAATGGCACAGTTACAATACTTGGACGACCAAAAGTGTAATTAAGCCAATGACGTATTAACACTGCCTCAGGATAGTAGTCCCTTAATTCACACACGAATAATCAGTTTGATGTACAGATAAAAATTAAGCAATGAAGTATTAACGAAATATCTTTTTCGAAAAAAGAAAATCCAGATCCCTAAATATTTTCACCCTTATTTTTAAGGTGATACAAAACCAGTCACTAAGGGCATTTCCAATAGGAGCAATTCACATTAGTTGTTTCTTACATTAAAAAATGTAAAATAGAGATTTATGAAGCCATATTATTTTTTAGCAACTCACTGTTGATTTTACTCCATTAAATTTTTTTTTAATAAATTTAAAAAAATTCATTCTCACTTATTCTTTCTCCTCGTTTACTTTGATTTGCTTATTTTTATAAGTTGCTTGATAAAACAACTATTAAAAAAAAAAAAAGTTAAGCACTTATCATGTCACCTAGGATTTCTCCAATAGGAAATTACTTCAAACAACTAATACATTATTTAAGTATCTTAATAACCAACTCCCATTGAAGATGTTCTAATACGAAAAAATCACCTTAATCTTGTTTTCACTATTCCCTTGCAAATTCTTGGAAACAAGTAATAGTGTAACATCTTTATGATTATAATTGAAAGAATAATGTTATCCTCCTACAAAGTCTCCTCCTATTTAATAAAGAAAGTATTAGATAGAAAAAATTTAACATATTTAATGTCTTGGAAATATATAATATGCATTTAATATTTACCATAGAAGGGAAGTAGGAGGATTTAAAGTTATGCTAATTGAAAACATATAATCTAATATTGAAAAGAAAAAAAAATCCAATTGCTCAAAACAAATGTTACCACCCCCATTTTTTCGGCAACATGAAACTGAATCCTAGAATTGCACAAAACATTCTCTGAGCACAAAAACTAGACTGAGGAAGCTAACCTGCACGCTGAGGAGGCAATTAAAATGAAATGTTGTTGCCATCCTGCCTGCCGCCTCCATCTCATAGGCAATGTCCAATGCATTAGAATGGTCCCCCGCTTTGCAGTCTTCCTCGATCAGAAGATCATAAACCTCATCAGTAGCCCTGAGGCCAATATCGGCACCCTTGAAGAACACTTCATTGGCACCTTCCAAATGCTTGTTCCGAAGAAGTTCCTCTACACAACACCATTATTAGAGCGCACCGTAAAGGAGGCACCACAAAAAAATTAACATTAAGTAATTGATAACATGATAAGAAGGTAAAATGAATTATGGTATCCTTTTAGGGCCTGTTTGGACGAGCTTTTCCAATAAAGACTTATGGGAAAGAAAAATAAGGAAAAAAAAAATGAAAAGAACTTCTCCATTAAGCTAAAATTAGTTATTACATAAGCTGAAAATGAAAATTTAGAGAAGTTGTATGAGAGAAATTTCACAAAATAGCTTATGAATAAGTTAATTTTAGTTCCTAATTTTTTCTTTAAGAAGTTCTTATAAGAAAACTCATTCATACAGACCCAAAAGCTAAAATAAACTTAGATTCTTAACTTTTGTAGAAACTAACTTCTACTAAAGTTAGAGTGCAAAAGTACAGAGAAGTTTATTCAAATAGTCAAAATGAATATACCAATAAGAACAATCCAAGCTTGGCGAATATCATAATTTAGGTCTTGCATATCTCCAAGTATTTCTAGACCTCTAATGGCGCGACCTTTAGACCCGAATAACCTTAGCAATGCCATGAATGTTTCGTGAACCGGTCGAAGCCCTGCAGCCAACTCTCTTCTCAGCGATTCCATCTGCTTAATAACAATGATCAGTTAAATTGAAACGGCATTCGGCGTCGTCGTAGAGAAATTAGCATACCGCAGCTTCTTCGTGGCCGTTGAGGGCGTGAGACACCACCAATCCATGAAACGACCGAGGGCCAGGGCTGAGGCCCGCGGCGATCATGTCGTATATGACTTCCGACACGCCCTTTGAGTCGCGATGCCGGGCCCGGTCCATGAGCTCCTCCATGAAACTGAACCGGAGGCCGTTCTCGACCGCGCTGTCGTCATCCTTCGTCTGCTTCTTCTTCTTCCTGCCCCGCTTTTCCGGTGCTGAAACCGCCGCGCGAACTGTCACGGTTCGGGGAGAGAACCGGTTCAACTTGAACGGGAAACGGGCGTAACAGTGAGTGTAGCTGTAAGGTAAGATGAGTGAGGACATGAATGAATATATAGAGTTGAATTTGAGAGTAATGCGTTTTGGTTCGGTGACAGTGGCGAGGGAGTGTAGCCACAGCGTTGTGTTGGTGCACTGATGATAAGGCACACGCTAATTGAAACATACAGTGATGCACGCTTACAAAACCGAAATGAAATGAAGTTGACCAAATCTATTACCGAATCCGACCCTTTGTCTTTGGGCCTTGCACTTGGACATGGGCTTAGTCAACTTAAAAAAAAAATTAACATTAAGATGCCAACTGGTGAAAATAATAAATAAAACAAAAATAGTAAAAAATATTTTTTTAGTATAAAGTTCTATAAATAAGGAAAAAATTAAATTAAATTGATAGTTTCATAACTTACAATGATAAAAAATAAAATTTAAAATATTATCTCTAACTAAACTAATCCTAGAATTTTTAATTTGACTTAGCATATGTTGAAACTAAGTGAGCATCTGGCCCAAAATCAGTTTATTTTTTAACTTAATAATCCATCACTTTAAAAGCATATCATTAACTTTTTGTTTGAGAATTAAAATATAGTTAGTTATTATTTATTTATTGTATATGTTAATGACCAAAAATTAAATGATTTGAGCGTCTTAGTGGTTACTAAATCACATTCTTAATCTTAATAGTTAATAAGAATATGAAGAATGATATTTTTTTTATCATAAGCAAAAATTTTATAGATTAAAAATGAGTACAATAAGTATTCCAATTCATTAAAAGTATGTCTAGACTTTCACACAAAGAGGGTAAATATATCAATACATAATTTTAAACAAAACATTACTATATAACATACTCCTTTAATACAATCTCATAGATCACAAAAAAATAAAATGTCCCTTGTTCTAGAGTTTCTCCTTGCTTCTATAGTAGAGGAAGTTACGGTTCTTTGATTAACCGAAAAAACATAAGAAGGAAGCAATGGTTCAGTAGGAGATTAGTTTGGTTCTTGACACTCCAATACAAAATATGAGACAAATTTAAGAAAAGTATATTTTGTGTAACTGTAGTGCATGTATGGAAGATGTATGATTGATTGGTGATTAGTATTTGTTGGAATCCAAAGCTAAAATGGTGCTGAGATTCATGGGGTTCATGTATTTTGAGGCTCCTGACATGATCTGCTGAACGATCAACCTATTAGCTTTTTCCGATGGATGGAATGGATCCCAAAATGCATAGGCATCACGATCTGGACATAAATTGGATGCCATTGTGCACAGTCCAAGACCATTGAAGGGTCCTTGACCGCAACATGCTACTTTTGAAGTAACAAATCCTGCATCCAAAAATTCATCATATTTTCATAAATAAAAAACATGGATTAAAAATAGTATCGAACTACTTAGGATCTATTAGTGATGAAGATATCATAGGATAAGAAAAAAATTAATTATATTATTTTTTTAAAATGTAGGAGTTATATTATGAAGATATCATAGGTACCGTGAATTTGTTGGTGTTTGAAAAGTAAAAAAAAAAGTAGTAAGTGATTGGTTGACAAGTGATTGGAGACAAGAAAAAATGGAAAGCCTTAAATGCACAAGAACCATTCCTTTTGTTATAAAATATTTTTTCACTTCACTCATTTCTATCATTCAATTCCAAAGCAACCATTACAAGAGTTAGCCAGCAAGAAGCAGAAAAAAAATAATCTAGCTTCTGGGTGTAATTGGGTTGAGGGTTGTGAGTGTTTTGTAAACACCTGTGTATTTTCTTTTCTCCCAGTAAAATATCTGCAGTAGTCCGGAGACGTCAACAATTTTGGCTGAACTCCGTTATCAATTGGTGTGTCCAATTATTCCGTCTTTATTTCGTTTTATTTCACTTTCACAGATCGGATTACATGTAAAAGTTCTGTGTATTTTTCCTAATAACTGGTATCAGAGCTGGTTGTTAACTCTGCAATTTTTGTGGTGACACTATTCATATAAATAGTGAATTTACTATTCCATGAATAGTAAAAACATGAATAGTAAAAATTTTGTCGGTGCTACAAAATTATCTACAGACGTGTTCCGAAACACGGTAGTTCACAGAAATTGTCAGAAATGATCCAGAAAAGTCAGATCTGAGTTGGAGTGATGGCTGCAGATGAAGGAAAGGTGAAAATCGAGAAGTTCGATGGTGCGAACTTTGGGTTCTGGAAGATGCATATCAAGGATTACCTGTATCAGAAGGATATGTACGAACCACTCACAAGAAAGAAACCAGAGGGTATGAAAGAGGATGAATGAACTCTTCTCGACAGAAAGGCCCTTGGAGCCATTCGACTGAGGTTATCCCGTAATGTTGCTTTTAACATTGCAAAAGAAAAGACGACAACAGGTCTTATGGATACTCATTCCAGTATGTACGAGAAACCATCAGCCTCAAACAAAGTTCATTTGATGAGGCGGTTGTTCAATCTACGGATGTTTGAAGGCGCTTGAACGGCGCAACATATCAATGAACTCAATACTGTTACAACTCAGTTGAGTTCAGTTGGGATTGAGTTCGATGATGAAGTACAAGCTTTGATACTTTTGTCTTCTCTACCAGAAAGTTGGAATGCTACTGTCACAGCTGTGAGTAGCTCATCGGGAAGCAATAAGTTAAAATTTGATGATGTTCGTAATTTGGTTCTCAGTGAAGAGATCCGACGGAGGGAGTCGGGTGAATCATCAACCTCTTCAGTATTGCATACAGAGTCAAGAGGAAGAAGTTCAACCAAAGAAAGCGGACGCGGAAAATCAAAGGGCAAACGATCCAAGTCTAGAAATCATCGTAGTTCCCAAAACTCGAAGCAAATCGAGTGTTGGAATTGTGGGAAGATCGGACATTACAAAAATCAGTGCAAGAATGCACGAAAGAATCAAGAAGAGTAGGACGAGGCAAACATTCCCTCTACCTCAGGGAAAGATGATGCATTGATATGCTCTTTAGAAAGCAAGGAGGAGTCTTGGGTGTTAGACTCTGAAGCATCTTTCCATGCTACCTCACAAAAGCAACTGTTCGAGAATTATGTTCCCAGAAATCTTGGTAATGAGCAATCGTGTGAGATTGTAGGTAAAGGTACAATAAAGATTAAGTTGAACGGGTCTATATGGGAATTGAAAAATGTCAGACATATTCCCGACCTGACGAAGAACTTAATCTCAGTGAGTCAGTTAGCCAGTAAAGGTTACACAACAATCTTCCACGGTGATGATTGGAAGATCTCAAAGGGTGCGATGATAATTGTTCGAGGCAAAAAGAGTGGTACTCTTTACAAGACTGCGGGAGCATGTCATTTGATTGCAGTTGCAGCAAATGAAAATCCCAATCTATGGCACCAAAGACTTGGGCATATGAGTGAGAAAGGGATGAAGATCATGCACTCAAAAGGAAAACTACCAGGTCTTCAGTCAGTAGAAATTGACATGTGTGAAGACTGCATACTTGGAAAGCAGAAGAGAGTTAACTTTTAGAAAAATAGAAGAATTCCAAAGAAAGAGAGACTTGAGCTTGTCCATTCTGATGTTTGGGGTCCAACGATTGTCTCATCCGTTGGTGGGAAGCAATACTTCGTGACGTTTATCGATGATCACTCCAGAAAGGTATGGGTTTACTTTCTGAAACACAAGTCAGAAGTATTTGAAGCTTTCAAGATTTGGAAAGCTATGGTAGAAAATGAAACAGGATTGAAGATTAAGAAGCTCAGATCCGACAATGGTGGTGAATATGTAGACACCAGATTCAAGAAGTTTTGCTATAAGCACGGAATCAGAATGGAGAGGACCGTGCCTGGTACGCCTCAACACAATGGTGTAACTGAGCGTATGAATCGAATGTTGACTGAAAGAGCCAGAATCTTGCATGTACAGTCAGGCTTACCAAAGCAGTTTTGGGCAAAAGCAATCAACACAACAACTTACTTGATCAACCGAAGTCCATCGGTACCATTGGAGCACGGAATACCAGAAGAGGTATGGAGTGAAAAAGAGGTAAAACTCTCATATCTTAGAGTTTTCGGCTGTGTAGCATATGTCCATATCAGTGATCAAGGTAGAAACAAACTTGACCCAAAATCAAAGAAGTGCACTTTCATTGGTTATGGTGAAGATGAGTATGGTTACCGCATATGGGATGATGAAAACAAAAAGATGATCTGCAACAGAGATGTAATCTTCAATGAAAGAGTGTTGTACAAGGACATGCATAAAACAGGTATTAGCAATTCAGAATCGAGTGGGCCAGTTTTTGCAGAAGTGGAAGATGTCCCAGAAAATCCTATAGTGAGGAGTCCTCAGTCAGAGGAATCAATTGAAGAAGGTGATGTGCAACCAGAACCTCTTACTCCAACTCCTGTATTGAGAAGGTCCTTTAGACCTCATGTGCCAAACAGGAGATACTTGGAATACATGTTGCTGACTGATGGAGGGGAGCCCGAAGATTATATAGAAGCTTGTCAAACCGCAGATGCTAGCAAGTGGGAGTTTGCCATGAAAGAAGAGATGAAGTCTCTGATCTCCAATCAGACATGGGAACTAGTCAAGTTACCCATGGGGAAGAAAGCACTTCACAACAAATGGGTGTATCGGGTGAAGGAAGACCATGACGATTCCAAGAGATACAAAGTCCGACTAGTTGTCAAAGGATTTCAGCAGAAAGAAGGAGTTTACTACACTGAAATCTTTGCTCCAGTCGTAAAGCTCAATACTATCAGAACAATGTTAAGTATTGTGGCTAGTGAAGAGCTCTACCTAGAGCAATTAGATGTGAAGACTGCATTTCTCCATGGAGACTTAGATGAGGAGATCTACATGCACCAACCTGAAGGATTTTCAGAAGGAAAGAAGGATATGGTGTGCAAATTGAAGAAGAGCTTGTACGGTCTGAAACAAGCTCCAAGACAGTGGTACAGGAAGTTTGAAAGCTTCATGCATAAGGAAGGTTTCCAGAAGTGCAATGTCAATCACTGTTGTTTCTTCAAGAGGTATAAGTCCAGCTATATCATATTACTACTTTATGTTGATGACATGTTAGTAGCAGGTTCAAATATGAGGGATATCAGAAATTTAAAGATGCAATTGTCAAAGGAATTTGATATGAAAGACTTAGGACCAACAAAGAAGATTCTTGGAATGCAAATCACGAGAGATAAGCAAAAAGGAGTTTTGTAGTTATCTCAAGAGGAGTACATCAACCATGTTTTGCAAAGATTTAACATGGACAAGGCCAAACCAGTCAGTACATCTTTGGCCAGTCATTTTCGTCTATCCAAGGATCAGTCTCCTCAAACAAAGGAAGAAGAAGAAATTATGGCTAAGGTTTCGTATGCTTTAGCCATTGGAAGTTTGGTGTACGCAATGGTCTGTACAAGGCCAGACATTGGCCATGCAGTGGGAGTTGTGAGCAGGTTTATGGCAAATCCAGGAAAGGCTCACTGGGAAGCCGTCAAGTGGATTCTGAGATATCTACGAGGAACAACAGAAAAATGTATGTGTTTTAGAAAAGGAAATCTAAGATTACAGGGCTACGTAGATGCAGACTTTGGAGGTGAAGTTGATCACCGAAGAAGCACCACCGGTTATGTTTTCACGGTTGGTACTACAGCTGTTAGTTGGATGTCGCGGATACAAAAAATTGTTGTTTTATCCACTACAGAGGCTGAGTATGTAGCAGTGACAGAAGCCAGTAAAGAATTGATATGACTTCAAGGACTGTTAGCAGAGCTGTGATTCACTCAAGAAGGGAGTGTTTTGCATAGTGATAGTCAGAGTGCAATACATCTGGCAAAGAATTCAGCATTTCACTCTAGAACCAAGCACATTGATATTCGTTATCATTTCATCAGATCTCTACTTGAGGATGAGGTGTTAACATTGAAGAAGATTGTAGGAAACAAGAACCCAGCAGATATGCTAACGAAGGTGGTGACCATTGACAAACTGAAGTTGTGCTCAACTTCAGTTGGCTTGCAAGAGTAGCAGACCAGAAAAGACTACTGCATTAATCAAGGTGTGAGGACAAATTGAAATCAGTCCTCAAGTGGGAGATTGTTGGTGTTTGAAAAGTCAAAAAAAGGTGGCAAGTGGTTGGATGACAAATGGTTGGAGACAAGAAAAAATGGAAAGCCTTAAATGCACAAGAACCATTCATTTTGTTATAAAATGCTCTTTCACTTCACTCATTTCTATCATCCAATTTTAAAGCAACCATTACAAGAGTTAGTCAGCAAGAAGTAGAAAGAAAATAATCTAGCTTCTGGGTGTAATTGGGTTGAGGGTTGTGAGTGTTTTGAGAGTGCTTTATAAACACTTGTGTATTTTCTTTTCTCCTTATAAAATATTTGCAGACATAAGCAATTTTGACTGAATTCCGTTATCAATTGGTGTGTCCAATTATTCCATCTTTATTTCGTTTTATTTCATTTTCACGTATCTGATTATATGGAAAAGTTACGTGTATTTTTCCTAACTGAAGTCATGTATGTTACTAATTCATTACCATATGCTTGAGGATTCGTGACGAAATCATCGTGCATGAGTTGTGTGTTGGCTGCAACGAAGACATCTGAACCAAGTTCGTTGTTGAGTTGTGTGATCATATCAACTAGTTGTGGATTGTACAAGAAAGAGGCACGCTGTAGCTCCTCTGAGCATTCCCCATTTCTGCCTCGCAGGGCTAATTCTGCAGGAACACAACCCAGTGGACCAGTTCCTGTCACCACCACCCTACGTGCTCCAAGATCATATAGCCTCTGATCCAATTCCATGCATTTCAAAAGAATCCAAAACGCAATGCATGTGATGTGAGAATGTGCAGATAATAACGCTACACTCATTAATCACCAAATTGTTATGTTTTTACCTGTAGAATCTTCTTGTACTCAGAGATGACAAAGGGGACATAATCTGGTAAAGCGAATTGGCGGGATCTAGCAGAGTTAGGCACCAAGTAGTAGTTATTCACAAAATCGTTGCCTCCACAAGTGATGAGGACTAGTGCTCCATTTACCAATTTCTGAGTTTCCTCATCTCCTATAAGGGCACTCACCCTTTGTTGGTACTGTTGAAAGTATTCTAGTTGTCTTGGCATTCTGATGATGTTTACCTGCCATATATGCCAACAATATATATATCATATCTCCTTATTTATCCATCCTGATCAATCGCACATGAAAATTGATGGTCCATTCACATACAAATTGGATTCCAGTGTCATTGAGGACTCCAATGCCAGCAGAAGCAAAGTTGGCACCAACAAGCAATTTTTCCCCGATGAGGTCAGGGCTTAGATATGGCAACGTGGCCTCTGACCCAAGTGCTTGACCTGCAAAAAGAAATCACAGATAAACTTACACTAAAGCAAAGTTAACAATGGTGAAGCAAAAATTAGAGAGGTTTATTAAGCGAACTGATAAGATCAGGAATGTTGAAGCCATTAGAGAAACGGCCAGTGGGTCTGCGAGTTGGATAATCAATGCCATAAGGTGGAGCATCTGCTCTAGCTGTGGTGACTAAGTAGTTGTTGTTGCCATTATCAACAAGTGAATCTCCAAACACGAAGAAGGCACGTGCTGCCTCTGCCCCCTTCAAATTGAAACCGCTGATTGCTAGTGCCGTCACAAGACTCGAAACAACGTAAGACGTGAAAAAGGGAAAGCTAGCCATGATTTGGAATTGGAGGTGAAGTTGAAGTCCAACAGGGATAACTCTGATTTGTGGCTACGCTGTAGCACACATATATAGATTGATACGCGCGTGAAGTGCTATAGCATGGTAACAGGTGGATCTTACATTACATAGTTCGGTGACTCGGTGGTTGTTTCACTTTAAAAATAATGGTCGTGGTGGTTGCATTTTGTGTGTGATTACATGAATAACGTAGTTGTATTGGAAATTAAGGTCGCAAGAGTTGGGAACTGCACTGGTTCTGGCACCATCTAACAAATTTATGCAAGCACATGCATTATGTTATATCTAACACCATTTAATATTGTTATTTGCGAGTAAAGCATGGAGGTATTAACAGCAGGTTTGCATAACGCCAAGTATAAATTAGTAGCTTCGTTAATCGTATAGCTTAGTGGGAACAGTTTCTGTAAGAAGTAGATGATGTTAAGTTAATTTTAAATGAGTCTAAATATTAGCACCTACTTATGATATCTCCATATTTTCCCGTATTAAATACATATTCTTTATAAGAGTGTATTAATTTTATCTTTAAAAATACATAAAAGTTTTAATTTAGTTATATTAAAATTAAAAATATTTTTCATTTTTTTATATTATTATTTATTTCAAATAAATATCTAATATTATCATTAAAATATAATTTATTTTTAAAACTAAATTATATTTTAATGATCTATTTGGAATAAAAGACAATTATATAAGATAAAAAAATTGTAAGAATATTTTATCAATTTATTAACACTAAAAGATTAATTAAAAAATATTTTTTAATGATATAAACAACCTTTCATATATTCTTTATTTCTTTATTTTCAAATAAATATAGGTCCCGTGATAGGATGGATATAAGGAAATGTGAAAGCGAAACCAATAGCATTAAAGTTTGCTGACTTGTGACACAAAGAAATAGTACTTAAAATTGTATGTTAAATTCATTTCTAATTTTATTTATTATTTTTAAAATAAATTAATATTATTCCTTATATTAACACTATTAAGTGATCTTATCTTGTTGAAAACATAACATATCATATTGAGATGAAACTGAATATATCTACTATAACATTATGTTGATGTAATATTAATTATACAACATATATCTTAATATAATATATCTTTAGTAATGTGTGTAATATAAATATTATTAATGATATTCGTTTTGATAAATATGTGATATGTATATTATGATTAGGTAATATTTTTTTTAGGTAACGATTTTGATGAAAAACTACATTATTTCATTTTAAAAAATACACTAAATTAATACTAAAATACGTAATGAAATTAAAAAAATAAATATAAAGAAATGAAAAAAATTAGTATTTTTCAATGCCTATGATAAGAATGTTTAATGATATATTTTATTATATCCTTATTTTGTGATTATTTTGTACTTATTAGTTTATGAATTTTATTATTCAAAAATTTTATATAATTTATTATCATATTTTAAATTTTTAGATATTTTGTTGATTCATTAAAATATATAAATGTAGCTTTACCATGGAAAAGGTAAAAAGTATCTATATAATATTTCACTTCTATATAAGTGATTAATTATTTAACTACTTGTTACAACATTTATAAATTGAAAAATATAATGTTAAAATGTAAAAAAAAAATTAATGAAATTTGCTTACGAAATAATAGTAATTGAATGATAAAATTAAATCTAATAAATTAATTAAGGTTTTCGAAAACAAAAATGCGTATTATTAAATAAAAATGAAATTATCCAATGTATAATAACTTTTAAAATATTTTACACTTTTAAAATAATAATAAATTAAAAAGTATATTAGAACATTAGTAACACTCAATTATTTTGTCTACAAAAGAGAAAATATAATATTTTTAGGAGGAAAACTATAAAAAATAATATATTTGTGTAAGAAAAATAAGGTCATTATGTTCAAAAAGGAAAACAATATTTTGTTAAAATTTGAAAATAGATAACTAGAATTTCAATACATTATTTTGTAACAATCAAACTTCTTAAAGAAAAACTATTTCTTTTTAATAATTTATTACACAACATATATCTATATATAGATAAATATTCAAATTTAGGTATTTTTATTAAAAATGAAAAAACAATATGATAGTTTGTCTAGTACCAGTTCTTTATATTATTACATTAATATAAAGTGGTTATTTAATAAATATTTATCTTTTTAAAAGGTTGTCTACTAATCATACTGTATTTAATCAACACAATTTCCTTAAAAGAATCTGAGGAGAGAAAGAAATGAGACAGGTGACATTGGCCTTTCCAGAACTTCAACATGGCAAGGACGTCAGTGATCATTGAATGTTCATCACGTGCACTATCCACCATTGAAAGCACACAAGATCTTTTACTCACACTTCTATTACAGTTTTAGGAATTAAGCACGGAAAGTTGAGAGCCATGATCACAATCAACATTCTCCACTACATACGAAAATTCTCACAACGATGCAATCAAATGGAATAAAACATTTTAGGGAACCACAAATGACAGTACTAGTTAAGAAATCATCATCAGATAAACAAAACTTAGGAAACACTTCACACATCAAACCCTGGAATCTATGGCCATGATGGTGCTAAGATTCATGGGGTGCATGTACTCGACCGAGCCAGTCAGCATCTGTTGGACTATGATTCGGTTAGCTCTCTCCGATGGGTGAAATGGATCCCAAAACGCATATAGATCTCGATTTGGACACAAGTTGGAAATGGTTGTGCAGAGTCCCACCCCATTGTACGGGCCTTGTCCACAGCAAGCTATTTTTGATGTAACAAATCCTGTTGGACCAAGTACACACCAAAAATTCAAAACCCGAATAACCAACCCTTTGTTCCAACCAGCATCACTACCTACCAATAATAGTGAAGTGAACGTACCATAAGCTCGAGGGTTGTTGACGAAATCCATGTGCATTTCATATGCGTTTACAGCGACGAAGACGTGAGCACCGATCTCTTGGTTCAATCCTTTGACCATTTCAACAAGTTGTGGATTATATAAGGACGCAGCTCTCTGCAGCTCCACGTCACACTCACCATTTCCACTTCTCAAGGCCAACTCTGCTGGCACACACCCCATTGGTCCCGTGCCCGTTACAAGAACCCTACGAGCTCCCAAATCATACAGCCTCTGCACTTGTTACGCATAAATGCATCAGATCAACAATGCAACAACTAAAGTTGACAAATGCTATCATGTGTTCTAGATACTGGTCAAGAAATTGAAAATAAAAAGCTTAAAAACAATATATAGTAATTAGTTTATCTATTATTATAGATTATTCTTTGAAGGAATTCTGTTAAACAAGACACAAAACAATTGTAGTACGATTCACCTACCAAATTGTTTGTCTCCTGCTCAGTTGCTTACATGAGGTAAGCAAGCATTAACTTTATAGGTTCATTACTAGCCTTTGAACTAAAGATCTCTCTGTTATTAATTTCATCATCAAGCTACAATCTCAAGAAAATTATTGAGCTCTTGGCATGAAAGGGCATGCATGGTTCAACGATAAATAGTATTTATTGGGAAATATTAATACCTTCAGAATTAGGCGGTACTCAGATATAATATAGGTCACGTAGTCTGGGAGAGAAAACTGGCGAGATCTTGCTGAATAGGGGACCAGGTAATAATTGTTCACAAAATCGTTTCCTCCAAGAGTGATGAGAACTAGTGCTTGGTTTACATGCTTCCAAGCTTCCTCAGCACCAATATGCGCACTTAACCTCTGCTGGTAATGTGCGAATAGCTTCAGCTGCTTGTAGATGTGAATGATGTGGAGCTGCCAAAACAATCACATACGCCACTATACATATAACTATTTCCTTTACTCTGTAGTTCACATATTGAACATCTTTAACCACCTCATATGATAATAAGTAAATTAACATAATGTAATTGAACTTACAAACTGAAATCCGGTATCATTGAGAATTCCAATCCCCGCAGACGCAAAATTGGCACCAACTAGGAGTTTCTCTCCGATAAGTAGAGGGCTCAAATATGGCAGTGTAGGCTCCAAGCCAAGCTGTTCACCTGCAATTAACCATTTTACAACAGCTTACACATGAAACCAAAACCTCAGCTTTCAGTCATGCATGCATGCAAATGGGATATTAGAACCGAACTATTAGAAAAATTAAAATTAGTAACGAAATAATTTGTAAGTACATCTTCATCATTGAATATGATCACTATTCCAATCATTTTTATAGTATAATTAACCGTGTTACATTACAACAACCCCGTTTTCAAATTAACGCGGGAAAAACTCTTACTGATTATGTCAGGGATGTTTAGGCCATTAGAGAAGCGTCCAGTGGGTTGGTGTGTTGGGAAGTCGATGCCATAAGGGGGAGCATCTGCGCGTGCAGTGGTAGCCAAGAAGTCATTGTTGCCACTGTCTACGAGTGAATCACCAAAAACGAAGAAAGCCCTCGCTGGTTGAGCAGAAACATAACTTAGACACATAAACAAGCTTGTCAATATAATACAAAAGCTAAACTCTGAACAACTAGCCATGGACTTGGTTATGAATGAATATTAATTGTCGCTGACACTGATGGTTTGGGAAAGGGTAAATATATATAAGATGTGATGCCAGAAGTTGATGGATGTAACGATGTGTGAATTGATGAAGAGCACATTCGTAATCATAAATGAGTTTTTCTACCACCTCTGCAATGTTAAAAGCAACCGCCGAATGAAGAAGAGAAAGTACTTCAATGAATTGCTCTGGTTGTTTGTTTAAGCAAATGTGTGACTTTTTCCTCAGATTCCAAAACATATCCCTCTTCGTATCAAATAAAGAGAACATTGTGGTCCTCCAACCCGCCATAACTAGTCATTACGTGGCGTCTAGAAAAGCATGGTAAGAGAAATGAGGAACTGATACCTCATTAAAACCACAAACTTCAAGTTAAATATTTTTACTTTTACCCAATTGTATACTTACTACTTCACTTGTCAATGCCATATCTATGTTGCATTCCTGTTTATGTTGTACTATACATGTTATAATAGTTAGCGTGTTTGTTGTTATATTACGTTTTCACAAAAAAAAAAAAAAAACAAATATTTGATGATTTGATTTACATTGGTTATTCAGTTTTTCGAATTTTGAGTTTCAAGTTTGATTACAAATAATATAAATTATTATCGTGTAGCATTGGTAACCACTTGAGTTTTGAACTGTTTTTTTAACAATGATATTACTAAAGAATTGAATTTTGTGTAGGGGTCTATGGGACAAAATATGAATAAATAAATTATTTGTTATCTTTAAATGGCTATTATATTAAAGTACATATATAGTTCATACGGTTGGGGTAGATTGAAAGCAGCTGCAGTCAAAGTGTGCTGTTAGAATGGCTACTGTTGTGTCAAAGTTTCAAAAGCTAACCTCAGCCAGCTTTGGTGTGAAGCTAGATCTGGAAACTGTTGTTGCCACATCTTTTGAAAGTCCAAACTGAACCCACATGCTATAACAAAAACACTAAATAGTGACCAACTCGAATCGGTCACTATTTCCTTGGTCACTGATTTCAGTGACCGAATAGATATAATCAAATCGGTCACTGATTCAGATCAATAACAAATTTAATTATTTTGATTATATCTATTATTTTTTTTCCCTATCTCTTAATTATATTATATTTTTGCTTATTTAAGTTTTTATTTATATTTATTTCCCCTATCTCTTAATTATATTATATTTTTTAGAAGTTTAACTTATTATTAGGTGGTTTATTGTCATTCAAGATTCAACCCGGACCTAGAGTCGGAGTCAAAGGCCAACCACTAAGCTACTAGGATCTTTTAATAATAACTTACAAATAAATTATATTTATATACAAATAAATGTATATCCGTATAAATATATAAATATAAAATCGCTCAAGCAAATACATTTTAGATAGCTACATAGGAACCGCTCTTAAAAGCTCACTTAGATAGCGTTAACCGAAACCGTTATTATATGGTTTCAATTATGATCGTTCAACATGCAATTATGATCGATCAACTCTTTAATCGATTAAATCTTGTTTCAATCGATTAAAACAATTTCGATAGGTTTTAATCGATTAAAACTTATTTTTATCGTTAAAATAACTTGAAAAGTTTTACAAGAAACTTATATTTATATATTGATATATTTATATATATTTATTTATATCCTTATACATTTATATCTTTATATATTTATATATTTGTATCATTTCGAAAATCTAATCAATATATTGATATATTTAAATATTGATATATTTATATCTTTATATTTTTACATATATTTATATCTTTTCATATTTATATATAAAGATATTAGTTTTCTATACAAATAATATTATAATATAGTATATTATACTATTAGTATAGTATACAAATAATATATTAGCATAGTATAGTATACAAATTATTAATTTTGTAATTTATATACAATGAAAATAATATAATGGTATATTAGTATAGTATAGTATATTTGTATTCTAATTTTTAATTAAATTAAAATTATGCTAATAATGTATATTAATATATGAGGGGATAATATTGATATATTTATATATTGATATATTTATATATTGATATATTTATATATTAATATATTTATATATTAATATATTTATATATTTATATATTTATATATTTATTTATATCCTTATACATTTATATCTTTATATATTTGAAAAAAAAATATTAAATTTTAAAAATAATATTATATTTTTAAAAATAAATATTAGAAAAAGATTTAAAAATATATATAAATTATATTTACATTTACAAAATATTAAAGATATATGTTTACAAAAACATTTACAAAATTTTGTGCGGGGGTGTTTCAGCTCGAGCGAGAAGATTCTAGCTCAAGCGAAATATGTTTTAAAGCGGTTACACGAGAACCGCTATTAAAAGATCACTTAGATAGCGGTTCCACTTGGAACCGCTATGATATCATTCAATTATGATCGGTCAGAATTCAATTATGATCGATCAGAACTCTTTAATCGATTATACAGGTTTACGCAGTTGTTAGCTCGCTCGAGCGAGAATATTCTGCTCAAGCGAAATATGTTTTAGAAAGCGGTTACACAGGAACCGCTTTTAAAACTTCACTTAGATAGCGGTTCACCTGGAACAGCTATGATATCGTTTCTATTATGATCGGTCATAATGCAATTATGACCGATCGAATCTCGTTTAATCGATTAAATCTCCTTTCAATCGATTAAAACAATTCTACACATGCGTTTTAATCCATTAAAACTTATTTTTATCGATTAAAATAACTTGAAAAGTTGTACAAGAAAGTTTTGCAGTATTTAAGTCGATTGAATCACAAAACAATCGATTAAATCAACTTAGAAAATTTTTGTAAAGTGTTTTTAATTGATATAAGCGTTATACGTATATATCGTTAAAGAATCAAGAGCGTATTAATGAATTATTAAAATAACAATAAACCTATGATACATTATATATTATATTAAATATATGAAAATTTCACTACATAAGATAACCATCAAAATAATACCACAAATTTTGTTCTAAATAAAGTCATCATTCATGAATTAAATACTTTCTTACATATTGAAAATTCAATATAAAAAAGTAACTAGGATAAACTAAAGTAAGAGTCATAATTCTAAAAATGTCATTATAACAAAACAAATACAATATACATAGTAGAATCAGTTCACAATTCAGGAGGTTGAACATCCATCTTCTCCATCAAGAGGAGCAACATTTTATCATTTTATCATTCATGAGGTTGATATATTTGTATATATATATATATATATATATATATATATATATATATATATATTGATATATTTATATATTAATATATTTATATATTTATATATTTATTTATATCCTTATACATTTATATCTTTATATATTTGAAAAAAAAATATTAAATTTTAAAAATAATATTATATTTTTAAAAATAAATATTAGAAAAAGATTTAAAAATATATATAAATTATATTTACATTTACAAAATATTAAAGATATATGTTTATATCTTTACATATTTATATATATTTATATGTTTACTTATTAATAGCGGTTGCACAATCGCTCGGTTGCGACTATAGTCGCTCGAGCGAGACTATAGTCGCTCAGCGAAATACAACCGAGAATGCCAATTTTGTGCGAGGGTGTTTCGCTCGAGCGAGATGGTTCTCGCTCAAGCGAAATATGTTTAAGAAAGCGGTTACACGAGAGCCAGCTTTTAAAACTTCACTTAGATAGCGGTTCACCTGGAACCGCTATGATATCGTTTCTATTATGATCGGTCATAATGCAATTATGACCGATCAGAACTCTTTAATCGATTAAATCTCCTTTCAATCGATTAAAGCAGTTCAGCTACTGATTTTCGCTCGGCGAGAACGAGTCGCTCAAGCGAAACACAACCGAGAATGCCAATTGTGTGCGGGGCGTGTCGCTCGAGCGAGAGGGTTGTCGCTCAAGCGAAATACAACCCGAGAATGCCAATTTTGTGCGAGGGTGTGTCGCTCGAGCGAGAATATTCTCGCTCAAGCGAAATATGTTTTAGAAAGCGGTTTCACAGGAACCGCTTTTAAAACTTAACTTAGATAGCGGTTCAGTTGGAACCGCTATGATATCGTTTCAATTATGATCGGTCAGAATGCAATTATGACCGATCAGAACTATTTTAATCGATTAAATCTCCTTTCAATCGATTAAAACAGTTTACGCACAACGTTTTAATCCATTAAAACTTATTTTTATCGAGTTAAAATAACTTGAAAAGTTGTACAAGAAAGTTTTGCAGTATTTAAGTCGATTGAATCACAAAACAATCGATTAAATCAACTTAGAAAATTTTTTGTAAAGTGTTTTAATTGATATAAACGTTATCGTATATTCTGTTAAAGAATCAAGAACGTATTAATGAATTATTAAAATAACGATAAACCTATGATACATTATATATTATATTAAATATATGAAAATTTCACTACATAAGATAACCATCAAAATAATACCACAAATTTTGTTCTAAATAAAGTCATCATTCATGAATTAAATACTTTCTTACATATTGAAAATTCAATATAAAAAAGTAACTAGGATAAACTAAAGTAAGAGTCATAATTCTAAAAATGTCAGTCTACTAACAAAACAAATACAATATACATAGTAGAATCGGTTCACAATTCAGGAGGTTGAACATCCATCTTCTCCATCAAGAGGAGCAACATTTTATCATTTTTCTGAATTTTTCTCTCATTAGTTAACATTCTTTCACGGAGATCATCCCTTTCGATCTGAACTTCCAGTAACTTGTTTTTTAATTGTTCAATCTCCTCCCTCATAAGGCTGGACGAGATGATGAACTAGAGTCGTGACAAAGATTTCTCCCAATTGCTTTGCTTGACTCAGATCCAAGCCCAGTATACTTTGCCTTTGTTTATTCCGGCAACTTTACACCAAACCTCTAATTCATCAGGCGGAGTACCTCCTGCAATAGATCCTGATTGAGAGGCTTCTTCCCAGGCACGACTAAACTCTGCCTATAAACATTAAAATAGAATAGTAGTGAATTGGATAAAAACATAAAAAAGGATACAATTGTTTAAGAAATTAACATAAGAAGAAAAACAAGGAACTTACATCAACATGTGTTGATCTTTCATCCACCCATGTGTTATCCTTTCGTTTGTGTGTTTTGCGGAACAACTCGATGGGGTAGGGGTTTTCCATTCAACTTTATCTAAAGTATAGTTAAAAACACAAACTTAGAAGTACAATATCCACCATAAAAGAAAATAAGTTTGTCAAGTCATGACAATATGTAATGTAATAACTATTTTTCTCTTTCATCATAAATAACACCATGCAATGAAATTTGAACTAAAACTAACATACATTCTTTCCACACCTAAATGTAGTCCAGGATTCCATAATTCACATATACATTATAAGTTTAAAAGTATAACATATAGGGCCAATACATGTATAAAGGAGTATAAAGCAAACTTTACCAAATTTTCTCTATGTTGAGAAGTGCTAATGGAGCCACCGAGTATGGAGTGAAATTCCAAGTCCATCACAATCGAAGTTCGATTTGCTTTTGCAATCAAACTTTTTACTTTGAATTGTTTTGATCCCCAATGTTGGCATAAGATATCCCATACATCTTCTGCAAGCCAATTTGGCTTCTTCATTATCATGCGTGCCTTGTTTAGTGAACTTTTCAATATGTTGGCACCTCGTATTTCAAAGTTTCTTCTAGCCAACCTATGATCGGGTGGGGAAATAGTATATTTTCTACGTACCCAAACAAAACAAGTAAATGTTATAGGACATTCAATATTTGGAACTTATTTTAAAGTTAAGAATTAATATAAATACATACCATGAACTCACTAAACCACATGTCTCGAATATCTTGAGGTACCTTTTTCCATGATGGCCATGCA